AAATGTTGAAATCGAAATCGAGTGATGTACTCTTCATTGACTTTGATACCGTAGCTTGAATACGTCGTCTAATACAGCGGTGAAGAATTTCAGGGATTTTAACGTCACATTGTATTACACATTTCTGTATCTGAATAGGTTTCGTATTCTGATTTCGTTCTCGGATAGTCATCGAAGTTTTACTGTACAAACACCTAGTAAACTGATAGTCGATTTGGCACTGCTGAATGTTTAGTAAAATATGACCAAATTTCTATGAAATCAAAGGCCAATTTTCAACAGTGGACTTTGATAGTATGTAATGAATGAATGATTGAATGAACACACATTGACATTCGAAACCAGCGTTAAAGGTTTGATTCATCTGGTACTGATTAAATCCTGTTAAGAGCCACGCATGAATGATGAAATGTTGGCATTTCATCATTCATGCGTGGCTCTTATTTCAAATCCATGGAGGAATTGGAAGAAGCCGATGTCTATATACAAGAAAAAAATTGCATTAATTCTAAATAATTGACGGCTTCGTAGCGCAGTGGCTTAGCAATAAGTTGTTGCGTTTGGGGCCGCGGGTTTGAATCCCGCACGGAACAAGTATTTGTATGTCCTACAAATAATTGTTCCGGGTCTAGATGCTTGTCCTTGTGCAATTTGTGTTTGTAAACTGCCTACACGATATAGGGGAAAATCCTAGTGTGGCGGTAATTGATTATAAACGTTTAAAAAAACAGTTTATAATGAAGTTTTGAAGAATAACACAATATAACTTTAACAGTGGTATATACCTATAAACTCTAATATAACGATATTCCTTTTTGCACAGTTTGTAGCGCTACACGGTAGATATCTGTGTCCCAACCAGTAAGCGGTACCTCCGCAGGAAACGGGGTCGCAGACAGCATGGCCGTCGGACACATCCGGTCTCACTTCCCGGCATACGGGCTGCATCGCCAAGTTTCCCCACTTACTTGTTTTATTGCTTGCATATATATTTCTGCATGTTACAAACTATAACATTATTTACTTATAGTATTTAATTCAGGTAGGTATTACATTATTTATTTTAAAAGTATTATATATACATACGTGGTAGAACCATGCTGCAGCTATATTAGTAGTATAGTTGTAGCACGAATGGGTCGGACCGGGTAGGACCACGCCCTCACAGAATACCAGCGTAAAATGGCAGCTTGACACTGCTGCTCGTATGGTGAGTTTGAGTATGAGAGAACCGGATACCCATTTTACTGGAAAAGAGGCATTCCATCTTAGCCCTCACGGGTGACGACGCAACAACATTTTGATTCTTTATTGAGGATAAATGTAGATGTTTATGGGTCACTGCAACCACTTACCATCAAGTGGACTGTGTGCTCGTTTGTCACCCTATCCTATAAAAACATTATATATCTCATGAATCCCGTAAGAGGTTCAGAACACGATTTTAATAGTCTATATAGTTAATAGTCTACGGGAATAAGTGTAAATGATGCGAGAACTGGGAAATGATGTATGATCGAGTGTCCAGGGTAGTGCAAACCGTAAGTCCAATCCCAAACCAGCAGTGGACTTTTATGACCTGATGAATAAGACGGAGAATGTAACTCTATAGCCTTGACCTTCAGAAATTTCCATCTCTCTCGTAGAAAGTAGGATTTACAATAACCTATACGCTTAGCAGTTAGACTAGCGAACTCTGTACCAGGCGTTTTGCTTCGACGTTGCAGTCGGCTTGCTGTTGGCAGTCTAAGTATTTTACTTAAGCTAAAAACGGGATAGATATACATTGAATTTCTTATAATTAAAATGGGCCAACTATATACGATGGATGAAGCAATGGACAGTTATAATGTGGATAGTCATTTGACGCTACTACAAGGCAAACTTCCCAATTAATTTTTTTGAGTAATTTTTCACGCTCGGCGAGGTTATTCTATTAAGTTGTGGCATCTTTACTCTTTCAAATAAATTTAATTTTTGATCTAAGTTCTCTTCAGTAACTTCAGTTTCATAACTTATATGGCGTGGCCTTTGTTACAAATCTCTGACGCTAAAATTTCTTAACTGAAATGAGTTTAATATACTTACTTACATTAGTTGCTTAGTATTAAGTTAGTCCTCATGCCGATTAATATATTACTAAACGGCAAAAATTTTGGAGGTCTGTCTAAATCTCATTTATACTTTTGTGTTTCACTTATTTTCACATAATAAAAGTAAATGCAAAAATGGTGGAAGATACTTGTATCTTGTTTTTTTTTATAGAAGAGGGGGCAAACGAGCATGAGTTTTTCAGAATTGCATTAATATGCATCTCCTCGACAGGTATACATCAAAACTTGAAAACGAGACTGTACAACCAGTGCGTGTTGCCAGTGATGACTTATGGAACTGAGACGTGGCCCTTCACTGTTAGCCGTATGAGGAAGCTCAAGGTCGCTCAGCGAGCTATGAAGAGGGCTATGCTTGGGGTTCCTTATCGTGATAAACTTAAAAGAACCAGAGTGACCGACATAGCCCAACGGATTAGTAAGCTGAAGTGGCAATGGGCTGGCCATATACCTCGAAGAACCGACAACCGATGGGGAAAAAAGGTTCTCGAGTGGCAGCCTCGTACCGGTAGACGAAGTGTAGGGTGACCCCGCTAGAGAGAGTGACGACCTGGTAAGACATGCAGGAAGTCGATGGATGCAGGTGGCTCAGGAGTATGCTTTGTGGCATGCCTTGGGGGAGTCCTATATTCAGTAGTGGCTGTAATGATGACGGTAATGATTAATATGCAGAATTTCGTTATGTGTAAGTAGAATTTATCTCCCGTGTTTGAATTATACGTTTAGCAACATCTATAACTTTTTATTTCAGTCATGTACTCCGATGTATCTATACATGTATATGGTAAATTGTCTTGAAATCATAATTGCGTTATTTCCTTTTTACTTTTTACATTTTTTTAAAACTAGCGATCCGCCCCGGCTTCGCACGGGTGATTTCTGGATTTCAACAGCAGCTCCACCTACCGGGTCCAATTGTGAATTGAAATCACCAAGGACCCACTCCAATACACACAAAAATCATCAGAATCGGTCGAGCCAGTTTCAAGTCTTAGTGAGACTAACGGACAGGAATAAATTTTTATATAGAGTTTAAGGAAACGTTTAATTTTAAATAAATATAAATTTATTTAAAACTATGTGTATGTGTTATTACGGCGTAGTGTTTATTGGCGACATTTGATTCATTTCGTTGGTCCCGTTGAATGTTGATTAGAACCATAAAAGAGATACTGATATTTCTTTACACTACACTCAAATCTGATTAAGTATATTTAAACACAAAAGAAACTTTTTTAAATATTATAAGCCAGTCCTTGACTACTGTCCCACGCGATAGTGAGTGTAATGCGCCCGAGGATAATAATGCGCATTAATTTAAATAAAAAAAAAAATTAATTCTTGAAAACATCCACATTGTAACCAGATGGATAGATAAATGCTTTCGAATTATTTCAAATAAAAAAAATATGAAATTTAATTTAAGAGAATCCACTACTCACATCAGTTCGTGGTTGTTGCAAGAGGGAGATGAACCAGGAGAAGGGCAGCAGCATCTTGGTGATAACTACTCAAACTACTAAGAAACTTTGATAGTCTACTCACCTAATAGGCAATCTAAGGCTTGTGCAGTGGATCTTTGATGGACTGTAAAAATAATAACGATAACTTAAAATTTGACTTAAATTAGTCTCAAAATCATATTAAATTTTACATTAAAATTTTACTTAAATTTTTTACGTGGTAGAGCCATGCCGCATCTATATTAGTAGTATAGTTGTAGCACGAATGGGTCGGCTCGACCCGGGAAGGACCACGCTCTCACAGAATACCAGCGTAAAATAGCAGCTTAACGCTGCTGTGTTTCGTATGGTGAGTGTAGAGAACCGGAGACCCTTTTTACTGCAAATGAGGCATTCCATCTTAGTTCTCACTGATGACAACGCATCTGCATTTTGATTTGTAATAGAGGATAGATGTCTATGGGTGGCAGCAACCACTTACCATCAGGTGGACTGTGTGCTCGTTTGTCACCCTTATCTTATTATTATTATTAAAATACATCAGCCTGGGATTAGGAAAAGCTACCGCTGGACTTCATCATCATCATACATACATAAACCTGGGCTTAGGCCTTTCATTAATATAATCAGATTTGCGATCGCACAAATCACACTGACATATAACCGTCTTGGTTACTTATACGTGGTAGAGTTACACTACAGCTGTATTATGTATTATGGCCAAAGAATAAAGAGATTGGCTTGGTCGGAGAAGGATTGTGTTCATATATGTTTCATAATGAACCCAATTAATATTTCTCTGATACCGGGGCGTATAATTTTTTCCTTTTTTTTTATAAAATAAGGGTGACTAACTAGCACTCAGTCCACCTGATGGTAAGTGGTTGCTGTGGCCCATAGACATCTACATCTATCTTCGTTTGCGAATCAAAATACAGATGCGTTGTCACCCGTGAGGACTAAGATGGAATGCCTCTTTTCCAGTAAAATGGGTCTCCGGTTCTCTACACTTACCATACGAAACACAGCAGCATTAAGCTACTATTTTACGCTAGTATTCTGTGAGAGCGTGGTCCTTCCCCGGTCGAGCCGACCCATTCGTTCTACAACTATACTATACTATTACAAATATGCAATACAAGCATGGCTCTACCACGTAAAATTTCCTCAGGATTGACGACGCATCTGCATATTAATTCTTAATCTAACATATAGAAAATAATTTTGTTTGTTCATATTTTATGCGCTGCCATACCGTTCATCAGATAGAGCCGCCATTAGTATATTAACAGCGCCTCCAGCGGATTCCAATTTGTGTTAAAAACCTATCAAAATTTACTTTGATTTGAACTTGAAACTCATCAATCGCAGTCGTCAACAGAAGTCAATACCATAACAAGGAGCTCACAATGAAAACGCATGTTTACCGTTATAAATGTTTTATTTCCAAGTCAGTTAAATACAGATGTCTATACATACTAGCATTTTAAATTCCTTAAGTACATTACAGCAATCATGTTAACATTTGGAAACATTTTGATTTTGTTAGGTGATACTTCTACAATATATATTCCTTAAGGGTCCATTGAAATAAGATATATATGACAATATACATAATTATCATTTAATTTTTTTTTTATTGAAAGCTAAGTTATTTAGTATTTCTATATACCTATTCATATTTATATTTATCTAATTCTAACCATAAGCTTGTTTTCTTTACATTTTATGTTAAATAGTCATTTAGAAATTTATAGATACATCTTTATTATATAGGTACTACACAAAAATATTAACTGTCCAATATTACTTATTTTTAAAATATTGATTAAGCTATAACTAACTGCCAACAAATTCGCTTGTTTATATTTACACTACACACATGACTAATATTGAAATAATTACCTTACTTTAAAATGTCGGCATGGGCAACTGGCAACATGTAGAGTTATAATATTAAAAAGAAATTAACACTAAAATAAATTGACAAAGCAATTTATTTGCTTAGAATTATGTAAATATCGACACCTACATAATTAACAAACATCATGGACGTTTTATGATATACCATAATATGATAATTTTATATAATATTATTTATTTACAAATTTATTTACATCTACAGATATATGCACTAATTGTTAGTGGTACATTTTTTGTTTATTAATTTTAGCAAAGATTTTTTTGTATGAAATATATTTGTATAAGCTTACACGTATTCTTATTGCTTATATATTAAAGAGTATATCAAGGAAGATATTGTCTACACAATTGACGATATTATAACTTTATAACAGAAAGCAGTTTCTAATTATTCAACACATATTATTTTATATCTTTTTCTAAAGGAACATACTACATTAATATATAACTTCATTATTAGATATTTTGTAAGATTATTAACAAAGAGAAGCATGTTACACATTAAATAAAAGTATTGCGGGTGTAATGGCGTTTAAATGTACTTATTTTAAGCTTTCCAAGATCTTTATTATTAAAAATCTGAACATCTCTGTCTCAATAGCTGCTGAAAAGTACTCTTAATTATATCGGGTGTTTAAAATAAGTAAAACGCGAAAATGTGTCCAGTAGATTTATTTAAAGCATATTTAGTCTGCACTATCAATTAATATTAATATTAAATGGTATAGATTTTGAAAAGTAATGATAACAACTGAACTTTTAAGTTTGGTAATACACGTAATTAACATTGACGAAAAGACAAATAGATCAAGATCAAGGGATCTTGAACTAAAACCTAAAATAGTAATTGACCACCTATAAGAATATGAAACAATGTTCCAAAAGATAGGTATAAAGGTAGATAGTTTAATTTAATTAGGTTGCAACATTGACATATCTTCGGCGCTTCTATAGCGCATGCTGTGTTCCCGCGGCCATTGGGTAGCTGTAAAATAGAAAATAATTTTTACTGTTAAAGCACAATATAAATTAAAAAAAAAACACCGATACAAATATCTTGGTATTTATTATACATATATGGTATTTATTATAAGTGTACAATCGGGTTGACAACGCGATGGCTGACGTGAAGAAAACGCTGGGCGACCTCAAACTTGGGGATGGAGTTACAGCTCCCGTGGTAGCTACAACACCTTCGCTACGCGGTTTCAAAGTGCCGCCGTTCGACGGACTTTGAAACTGCTCTCACCATAGGCCTGCGTGACCAGGCCTTAACTGTTCTGGAAGCTCTCGGTAATGAGGTGACTTACGAGCAACTCCTTGAGGCATTGGAGGCGCGATATGGCGACGCTCACCTGGAACACGTCTTTCGTGCGCAGCTCAAAGATCGCGTGCAACGCAGTAACGAAAACCTGCAGCAGTGGGCCCTTGAGGTGGAGAAGCTGGTTCGAAAAGCATACCAGTCTGTACCTGCGCTCATTGTAGGGAACCTGGTGCAAACATTCATCGACGACATCCGAGAACTTGAAGTCAGAGCTGCTGTGAGGCTCGGGCACCACGAGACGCTTAAAGACGCCTTGACCCATGCACTGGAGGTGGAAGCCGTGCGGCAGGATCATCGTTCCCATCGCGTCAGGGAGGTTGCAGCAGCTACAGGTTGAGACCGCAATAACGGCTACCGCCCTAGGTGCTACGGCTGTGGGGAAAGGGGCCATCTTCGATCCAGCTGCCCTAAGCGAACTGTAGAACGGGAAGGTAATCGATCTCGAGAGGGTATTGCGGCTAATAGCACCGCCCATTAGCAGCAGGGAAACGAGTAAAATCCAGGACTGCGGGGCGGGTGCTGGCTGATGTTAAAAGAGCCCCAAGGATTTCGATCTCACAAACTCATGATGGGAACAGCCCAATCATCAAGGGCGAGGTCAACGGAACGCCGTGAAAACTGACCATAGAAACTGAAGCCTCTCGCACGGTTGTCAGTTCACAACTTATAAGTCAGTTCCTTGGGGACATACTACCGCGAACGCATTAATTTAGTGACAGCCACCGGTCAGCGCATACCTACCCGTGGAGAGAAGGAGATAGAGTTGAAGCTAGGCAACATGATCTACCTGCATAATGTCATCGTGGCTGATATAATGGACGACTGCATCCTGGGCCTAGACTTTATGAGGAAGAATTATTGTGAGATCGACGTTAAGCAAGGGGTTTTGAAACAAGATTTTGGGTGGACAAGAGGAACTTTTCGTGGAAGGGGCGTTACCAGGGAATTTGTACAGCCTTAATAAGATTGTTCTTCCGCCGAGATCGGAAACGATTGTGCCGGTTAGTCTTCCTCGGAGTCCTGGGCAAGCTCATCGTTGTGTACTCGTGGAAAGGATAGACAATGACTTTCCATGGAAAGTGGCTCAAACCTTGGTCAGAACCACCGACATCTCAGGAATACGTGTGTAGAACCTTTGTGATCAGGAACAGATTATAGAAAAAGGCACATTGGTTGGTACTAGTGAGGAAGTGGATTGGTTGCGTTGCGTCGGTTCGAATATTTATCGACTGGGACCCCCAGCAAGGATGGACAAACGAGAGTGACCACACTTTTAGAAGACTGTCGCAGCTTTCTCTCCCCGAATGAAATGTTCAAGGCGAAGAAGTTGTTACTCAAGTACGCCAATGTTTTCTCGTCAAACGAAGTTGACTTAGGAAAGACTGGCTTAGTTCAACACAAAATAAACACAGGAGAAGAATTGTCTATTCGTCAGCGGCCAAGGAGATTGCCTGTAGCACGTGAAAAGGAAGTGGAAACCATGATTGAGGGAATAGTGAAGGATGGTGTTGCTGAACCTTCATCCAGTCCATGGTGTTCACCTGTGGTGCTGGTAAAGAAGAAGGACGGCAGCATGCGGTTTTGTGTTTACTACCGCCGCCTGAACGACGTTACAAAGAAGGAGAGCTATCCCTTGCCAAGAATTGATGACACGCTGGACATGCTTACAGGTGTAAAGTGGTTTAGTACGCTGGACCTAAAAAGTGGCTACTGGCAGGTTGAAATCGACTCTAAGGATAAGGAGAATACTGCATTCTCCACAGGAAAGGGTCTGTGGCAATTTAAAGTCATGCCGTTTGGATTGTGCAATGCTCCAGCAACGTTTGAAAGGATGATGGAGCTTGTACTTACCGGGTTAATTGGAGATGCCTGTCTGGACTACTTGGATGACATCATCATCGTAGGCTGTACGTTTGAGGAACACCTTCAAAACCTGGAACGCGTGCTCATGAAGATCCAGAGTGCCAACCTCAAGTTAAGTCCGAAGAAGTGTTCACTATTCAAATGGCAAGTTAGCTTTTTGGGGTATGTAGTGTCGGAAGAAGGTATCCGCACGAATTCAGAGAAAATTGCTGCTGTCAAGGATTGGCCGGTTCCAAAAGACAAGACACAGGTTAGAGCATTTTTGGGTTTGTGCTCTATTTATAACTTTGCAGATATAGCCAAACCTCTGCACAGGCTAACCGAGGAGAAGCGACATTTCTGCTGGGATGAAAGTTGGAATATTGCATTCCAGGAGCTCAAGAACCGTCTGTGCAAAACACCTATTTTGGGGTACCCTGATGCGGGCAAGGAATTCATAGTTGACACAGACGCAAGTGATATAGGACTTGGCGGTGTGTTGTCTCAACGGAATGGTGATCAAGAGACTGTGATAGTGTACTTCAGCTAGTCGTTTTCAAAGCCGAAAAGGAACTATTGTGTCACAAGACGGGAATTGCTTGCTGTGGTAAAGTCCTTGCAGCATTTTAGCAAATATCTTGTGGAAATTCCACTTACGAACTGACCATGCTGCACTGAAATGGCTATTGCAGTTCAAAAATCCGGAAGGACAAGTTGCGAGATGGATTGAACTACTGCAGGAATACGACTCTGTGATCGAACATCGCAGCGAGAAATCTCACGGCAATTCAGATGCATTGTCAAGAAGACCTTGCCCTGAAGATTGCAAGCATTGTACTAAGCAAGAGGGTAAGGAAGTGGTATCTGTGAGGATGCTCAGGACAGATTAGCTCAGTAATGAGTGAAGGGACAGCCTACAACATGTACAGCAGGAAGATTCTGGAATGGATGAAGGCCAGTGCTCCTAAGCCCAAGTGGAGTGACGTCTCAGCAATGAGTTCGACCACGAAAAGCTATTGGGCCCAATGGGACAGCTTGCTAATTCACGATGGAGTCCTGTGCCGTAAATGGGAAAATGGTCGTGGAGATAAATGTAATTTGCAAATGGTTGTCCCTAAGGCTAAAGTACCGGATGTTCTACAGCTGTACCATAGTGGTTGTCACCTGGGAGTTAAACGAACTCTATTGAAGATCCGAGAACGGTTTTATTGGGTCCACTGTCGTGACGATGTCGAGGACTCATGCTGCCAATGTACAAGTTGTGCGGCTGTAAAGGGACCTCAAACTCGTAGTAGAGGCGCATTGAAATTGTACAATGTTGGTGCACCATGGGAGAGGAAAGCCATTGACGTTGTGGGGCCGTTTCCGGAAAGTGAAGGTGGTAACAAGAATTTCATGGTTGTGATTGATTATTTCAATAAGTGTCCAGAAGTCTTCGCCATTCCAAATCAAGAAGCTTCAACAGTTGCAGATGAATTAGTTCATGAAGTTTTCTGTCGTTTTGGAGTACCCTTAGAGATTCACAGCGATCAAGGAAGGAATTTTGAGTCTCAAATATTCCAGGAAACTTGCAGAGTTATGGGTACTCATAAAACACGAACAACTTCTTATCACCCATAATCTAATGGAATCGTAGAACGATTTAATCAGACATTGGAAAGGTACCTGGCAAAAGTTGTGGAAAAACAGCAACGAGACTGGGACAGGCACATACAACCGTTTTGTTGTCATATCGAAGCGCTGTTCACGAAAGTACATCAGTGGCGCCAGCTTTCGCAAACTTTGGGAGAGAATTACGGCTGCCTGCAGACCTGATAACCGGAATACCACCTGATGCCCCACGCAGTATAACCGATTATGCAAATGACTTGCGGAACAAAATGAATGACATTTATGAGCACGTCAGACAGTCGGGCCAGTAATCGTCTGAGAAGATGAAAACACGGTATGTCCGCAAAATGAACAACAAAGGGTTTGACGAAGGTTCACTAGTATGGTTACACAATCCAGCTCACAGCAAAGGGAAATCTCCTAAGCTTAAAGCTAATTGGGATGGACCGTACCGGATTGTGACAAAGATCAATGACGTAACCTACCGGATACAGAAAGGTGCCAGAAGTACTCCTAAGATCGTCCATGTGGATCGGCTGGCGCGTTATTATGGGGCCAATAATGCTCGGGACGAGCATGTCTTAGGAGGGGGCAGTGTTGCGCGCCACTGTTGTCTTTTACATGGCAACACTAGTTAAACTAGCGCCCTCTAGTGTCGAATAGCAGAACTAGGAGAGTCAAGATCCTTCCAGAAATTTCGGGACCGATATGTACTCGAACATTCTAGATGTCGCGACCGTAGAAGGTTCTGGAAACTATCTGAGGCCCTATATAAGGCCGGTATAGACCACGACTGAGGCAGTATTGAATTGGCGATTCAAGAGAATACTTCGAAGCGAAATAACTGCGAACTAAAGTGATTGTGTTTTATTATTAGTGTGATTTTAGATTGTAATAAAACACATAATATATATAAAACACTTTAATTACACAACACTAGTGTAATTAAAGTGTCAATTTTAGTAATTCAATCGGCAGTTTTAATTGTCTCGAACCCCAAGCTCGTAACAATATCATTATGGGAGTGGTTAAAAATAGCTTTTTTCCGAAAATGTATGAAAACCTCCGTATGCGCCACTTTACACTACCGCCTAACGCTAATGAGATTCGTTCATTATTAACCAATAAGAGTTCTGCAAAGCTCATTTCTGGGTTTCCCATCTACCGCATTTCATACCTTTTAGCATGTGGACTCTTGTGTTAACGGGGTTCGCATAAGTTCAGAAGACCTCTCCTCTCGGCTCTTCAGACCACTGTCTAATCCGGAGTGTGGTGCCACTCACGCTCCCCTCGCGATTGCGTTCTGCAGGTTGCCGCCATGTTTGGCGTTACAGGTCGGCCGATTGGGATGGAATGCGGTCTTTCTTTGCATACTACCCATGGGGCGGGTATGCTTCTCGCCGGATGTTCCCAGTGCTGTAGCTAGCTCTGTCAGTGTGCACATGGGTATGTGGTGCTACAGGGTATGGAACTATTTATTCAATCATCAGTGGTACCCATCGGAGGCAGATCTCAGACTTGGTTTGGTCGCTCCTGTAAGTCTTCATTACGCGTTAAGCAGGAGTGTTATCAGGCCTGAGCTGAGGCTTCGGCTACTCGGGATATAAACACCAGCGTGCTTAAAAAGAAGCATAACTTCGCCTCCAGGTCCTTCAAAAGAGTTATTGCCAAGGCAAAGTCAGAGCACATAGGCAGAATCGGCGAGAAGCTAGTTCGCCTTCTCTTCAGGAGCCCATGCATTCTGGTCTCTCGCCAAGGCTGTCCAAGGGAATTTCTGTAAGCCATCATTACCATCGCTGCACAGGGAGGACCAAACACTGGCCCACGCCGCAAAAGAGAAAGTCGACCTTTTAGAATGACGGGGGGAACACACCGCCGACCATCCCGCGGTGTGAGTGCTCCATGCCGGATGTACGGTTCTCACATCGCTCGGTTCGCAAAGCATTCGTCTCTCTGGACATGCACAAGTCGAGTGGGCCTAACGGAATCCCCCCAATTGTCTGAGGACGTGTGCTCCAGAGTTTGCACCGGTACTAACGCGTCTTTTCCGGTACTTCTACTCCCTAGGCGTAGTCCCGAAATCATGGCAGACAGCTTTTGTCCACCCGGTCCCTAAAAAGGCGGCCCCTCAGACCCGTCTAACTACAGGCCTATCGCAATCACCTCCTTGTTCTCCAAAATATTGGAATCCATTATAAACTGCCAGCTCATGCGGTACCATGAGGATCAGCAGCTGATTAGTGACCAATACGGTATTCTTCGGGGTCGATCAGGTGGTGATCTTCTTGTCTACCTGACTCATAGATGGGCGGCTGTAGTAGCGTCCAAGGGGGTGACATTGGCCGTTAGTTTGGACATTGCGAAGGCCTTCAATCGGGTTTGGCACAAAGCGCTTATTTCGAAGCTCCTATGGGCTTTCCGAGAAATGGTACAATTGGATCACCAGCTTTCTTGCAGATTGGAGAATCAAAATCGTTGTAGACGGTGCATGATCCGACTACAAGCCTATTAACGCTGGTGTTCCACAAGGCTGCGTGCTATCACCAACGCTGTTTCTTCTGCATATCGATGATATGTTGCAAATCATTAATATTCATTGCTATGCGGATGATAGCACTGGTGATGCTCTATACACACAATACTATTCTCATCTCTGGGCCGGGGCATCCGAGTGCCAGCTCCTTCCACTTGACCGCATCCAGCGCAAAACGCTTCGAATCGTCGATGACGGAGTTCTTTCTGATCGGCTCGATACACAGGCACCATAAAATAGATGCTGATATATTTTTACTTTTGAATAGACTTCAAAATTTCATAAGTGTTATCCTACTATATCTACGAAGAACGAGAGAAGAACTACATAAACGTGAGTGAAAATATATTCGCCGTGTATTGACGGTATAAGAAAATTTCACTACCCTATATCATCCGGTAGGTTTCGTAAGAGACGAGAGAGGAAAACTGAAACAGGGGATAGCCGGCAGTACCTTCTCGACAGTTAAAAATAAGCAGTTAATGGTTCATTGGTTACAGCTTTTTGACAGCTAATATGCAGCATCTATATATTTTTTTTATTTATTTAATCTTTCATGCACAAAGTTGTATATATGGCGGACTTAATGCCATGGGGCATTCTCTCCTAGTCAACCAACAGGCTAAACAGAGATAGACAAACAAGGGGCGATGAAACAGTAATCAAAATAGAAAGGGCTAAAGAATATTGTATATGCATATAAATATACGTATACACACATACATACACGTATATACTTAAGTACAAAATATTTAAATACATACATACCCATATACATGCATACAGTACATACATGAAATTTTAATATATATATATATATATATATATATATATATATATATATATATATATATATATATATATATATATATATATATATATAAGAAAATAAGAGCTGTGTTGTATATATCATATCACAAAGTTATTTTTTTTTACTAAGCATAATTGTTTAAAACTACATGATATTATATATAAAGTATACATAGTAATAGACAATAACTCCTGGGAATGATGTAAGCGCTACCATGCTGTTTCTAAATGTTTTCATACTTAATTGTATAAAATGTTATATCATAAATTCATGTTTAAAAAATCCAGCTGGGTTTCTTACTGGTTTTTTCAGGACATAGGCATTTTTCTGAACTAGTGGTAAAGCTTAAATGACTTTCAATAAGTATTCTTGTAATCTACTGTATAATATAAAAATGATATGTATATTGAATAAAAATGAATTTATTCTATTCTATTCTAATAAAAGCTTCGGTTGCCTACTCATCCGCTAAGCGTGGCATCTAAAGGTGCGTACATATTATATAACATAACATGTGCGTACATATTATGTTATATAACATGTTTCAGTAATGTGGAAACTGATTGTTATAAAACGTATTATATAACGTGACACAAATGTTATATAACTAGAGAGTATTTTTCTCTAGTCAATAAACTAGGACGAACCTATGTTTTTTTCTTTTGTTATTTAAAAGTACAAGAGTCGCTGCAGCAGCTAGCAAAACGTCTTCTTGTGTCGACATTGTGGATAGCACTGCAGAACGACAATCGACAATGTCATATAACATTGTTATAATGCAATGTTATTTAATGTGTACAGTATTGTTATATGTTGCTATGTTGATAAACAATGTAACATAATGTGAACGTGTTATAAAACAAAAGTTACACAACATTTTACTTAATCTGTACGCACCCTAAGACAAAATATCCAGCCTATGAGGAGGCCGTAGTGATACTGATAGTTGAAGGCGGCCCGGGTTAACTACGGTGGCAGGTGTTGAACATCATAGTCCCCACAGTAAAGTATTCGAAATGCCGGGCTTTCAAAATACTTTTTAATTTAATATTAATGCGATTTTGTCACGACAGAAAGATTTAGAAGTATTCGTTGAGTAAGTATATTTTCTCAAATTCAGTCACTATTCGTGAGTTCGGCTTTAGCTCTGTAAAATTCAGTCAAACAGTCTAGACTAGAATTTATGATGCTATAAACAGAATTAGCTTAACTTTTCTACAGAATTAAATGAACATATGTGTACGATATTCCGTGTTCACAATAAGTACATGTTTACAATGAGTTCAGAATAGTTTTGGCTTGTTTTATGGTCAAATGTAAGCAGTGCTTCTTGTTTCTTTTTTATTTGGTCTGATTTGAGAATAATACATCAAATAACGTAATTAAAAAAGTCTTTAAATCATTTTACTTTTTGCGGGGATTATGTAGGTATACCGTCTTGCTAATTTTGTAATGTAATGCTTAAACTACGTATAAAAATGTAACTAGCATGACATGCGTGCTCTATTTATTAAAAAAAAATCAGCTCAAGCAAGATGCTAACTAACCTAATAAGGGCAAAGTTGTGCTAGGAACTATACCTATTTCTTGTGACATTTCTTTGTAACATTCTTTCGATTGCATGCAATACTTTTTTTCGAGCGTTTCTTGCGAGAAAAACGTGCTGAAAATACATCGATTAATTAAATTCAGTATAATTAAGATAAAAATTTTGCATTTTAGCCTTCATCGAAATCGTTAATATTTCAAAGTCAATTTTTGTTTATGCTATTATTTACAAAAATTCGGAGGGATAGATGAACTTATCAAATAAATAGGATGTTCTTTATTCACAGTTAAGTTAAAATTAAATTATCAATATGAAAGCTAAAATTCCAAAATGGAAATAGAATGTGTAATTTGATTATTTTTAATTTATCCATTAATTTATTTTTTGGTAAAAAAATTATAACGTATATGAACTATACATCCTTACATCTATAACATACACATGCAGTTAGTTAAAGAATTTAATGTGCAAATAAATTTAATTTATTAAATTAGGTTTACCGGTGTAATGCATGTTGCGGTACATATCAGGACAGTTGCTTGACACCTGCGCAATAGAAAAATAATAATTATAATTGTTAACAAAACATACATACAAAAAAAACATACACGCGAAATGAGAACCTCCTCCTTTCTGATATCGGTTAAAAATAGAAAATATCTTTTTACACAGATATATTACACGCAGTATAATCTAACACTGTACGTATTTCCGAATATTTTATGCCGTTTGACATTATCTATCCTAATTTAAAAAGTATCAGTCTTAATTCGTTTTTATGCATAAAATAAATGTATAATTGTAGCTGAAGTTCAATTTTAAGATTCGCGACTAGTAGAGCTTTTTACCACTAAGGTAATTCGACCAAAATTGCATACTTAAGTCTCATCCGTTAGATAACTTTTTTTCATTAAATTTTAAACCATTCTTGGTGTAAACCAGTTATCGGGAGTTATTTTAATGGCGGCCGCTACATTTTAACAGCAGTTTTCGTAAGCCTTGTTGAAAAAGTGATATATTTCACATTTGTGCGTTTATCATTTTTGTAATAATTGTGAGATTTTTTTAAAAATATTGCAACGTTTATGGAATATGAGCGAAGTTTTTGATAGTAATGAAGAAATATAGTCCAAAGCATAACTCCAACTAATTTTTGAACTTACACTTCTTTTGGGGCGTTTGGGAAAGATTATTGGAGTGAATTTTTTACGATGCGCGCACACACTGACAGCTAAAAACGACACCATGAAGTTTTTACGATGCGCGCGCACACTGACACCTATCAGCGGCAACTTCAGTGGGTTGTCTCTCAAGCTTTTTTGTTTTGTTACGCTAAACAAGTATAACCTCCTACGTGCGCACATAAGTACACACTCAGTTTGTTTGAATTGTCTATTAAATGGAAATATTTTTCCACGAGTTCCAACATCAAGTTTTTCTTAGAATTGGTTACGTATCTTTATTTCTTCAGACAATTTATTTAAAATTACCACAACATGCTACACTACAACTTGAAAAGGTAACTTTACTCAACTGACAACTCGTGAGAATATTACAGTGTTCATTGACATGTGACACTATTATAATCCGGCAAATTTTGGACATAAAAATCTTGCGTTGCACTATAAAAACAATTTCAATTTTAGTTGGCTTATGTACATATTCATTCATTATTCACGTACGACCACGAGTAAGACCAAAGAGTAAAATTATTCGAGGGTTAGTTGCTCTGGTATAACATAGTATTAGGTCGAATCCACCTTAAGTACCCGGGTTACTCAAGTACTGTGATTTTCAACCTGAGTTTTTACGACTCTGTCTCCCTATATATGTGATACATTTGAAAGATTTCTAATATATATGTGAAATCTACTAGTGTTAGACTTATTATATTAGGACAGAGCGCAGACTTTTGCCTGCCCCAAAAATCTCTGAGTGATGAGAGGACCATGCCCAACTGCAGGACGAATTTAACGAAATTAAATTAATAATGTTTGTACACTCGGGAGTCATTACTCGAAACAACTGTAATGGAATAATGATTTTAGACTAGGCACTATTTATCATAGTAAACTGTCTTCCCTAAAACCACAGTGCTCAGTTCGCATTAATTTGGGTAATCGAGGCAGAGCAAGTAAATTATATTTAACTCCTTGTCTTATACAAGCCCAGTTTAGAGTCTAGATCCGGCAGCGATTTATTGTCAGTAGTTCGATGCAGTTAGTCCCTGTAAGCACTAGGACGTGTAGTTTAAGCTTATTGAAGCAGCCGTGCCTAGTGGTCATTATGTAACTCCTTTAATAGTATTTGGGTAATAGACAGACAAAATCAAGAGAAATTACTAGCAGTGTTTTTTTAAACAATGAATACTCAACAGACTGCGACCATTACACATTGAACAAAAATATTTTTACGGAATTTATCGCGTGAAATTTTACTTATTTTTAACTTCCGACGTTCTTTTTTAAGTCCCCCAGTGACCAATGGTGCTGCAAAGCACCCGAAACGTCAGGCATTAAAAATAAGTAAAATTTAACTAGTAAAATTAAATCCGTAAAAATTGTTTTAGTCTCTCCATTTAAACTTATATTTTTATTCATTTTTATTTCTGCTACTATTTGTGTATGTATTAGATGATTATACAACATAATCAATTATGAAAGTCAAAGTCAATAGAAAACTGATTCTATAATATAGTACTCACCGGAACTCCTTGTCTATTGAAGTTAATGTTGGTCCTGACGGTACGGTGATGCAGTGGCTGCACTGGCCTCGCATTATTACCCAAAGGAGCCTTGGGTGATATTTGTGAGCCTTGCATTAGCCGGCGAATTGCGTACATCTGTTCGAAATTAATTCCAAATAATTGTTCTTACTACTATTTATTATTCTATTAGGAATCAAAAACAAAATAATCATTTTTACATTTTAATATTTTAATACACACTAGTTATTGACTGCTATATAATCGGTTTAAGTTTTTTGATATAAAAATATAATATGAAAATATTTTTGATACATAGCAAAGATTCATTTGTGCAAAAAGACTTGTGTTGTATTGTTATTGTATTTTTATTACCTCTTGCTTGGAGATATAAATAGGTTTGTTGAAAATGATCCAGACAGCAGTCTCCCAACATCCAGGATGCGTGGTTGAGCCCTCGTATGTCAGATATTGTTGGGTATCAGGCAGCAGGGAACTCAGTGGTAAATGCTTTATAGGGAAGGAGCTTCCTGAGAACGAAATTAATAAGACTTTTAATCTTCTTAATTTGTAGGTTTAAACTGTTTCTGAAAAATTTTTTTTTCATGGTCACTTTAAAACGGATATAAAAATGTGTGTTGATATATTACTGTAAGTTGTCTAAAAACGATATACGTCTTCTTATAAATGGTTTAATGGTTTGCCTCTTTGTTAATTATGGAAAAAGCGTATAAAAATTGTTTCTCCATCAGATTACATTGAGTGTCGTTAAGGCAAGAGTGAACAGGCTTTTGTAAGTAAATTGATTCTATTTTGACATATTCGGTTGTAGTAGGTACCGATTAACATCAGGTAGGATAGTAGTAAAATTCTGCCTTATAATAGATATAGATATATATTTTACTATTTTGGAACGAATTTCTTTATCGGACGGTACAAATTTGTCGGATGGGGCCTAGGCGAGTAAAATTGTAAAATTTTTTCCGTCACTTTCAGTGTAGACGGCCTTGGCGGTTATAAGGAAGCTAGATGGAATAATATGCACCTCCCTCGCACTTTTTCTTATTTTTACATGAAAGAAATATTATTTTATTTTAAATGACGCTTAATTTTAATAGACGCTAGTAATTCATTTGTTTGTATTTTTTTTATAGGATAGGGTGACAAACGAGCATACGGTCTACCTGATGGTAAGTGGTTGCTGTGACCCATAGATATCTATATTTATCCTCAATAAATAATCAAAATGCAGATGCGTCGTCACCCGTGAGGTCTAAGATGGAATGCCTCTTTTCCAGTAAAATGGATCTCCGGTTCTCTACACTCACCATACGAAACACAGCAGTGTCAAGTATTCTGTGAGAGCGTAGTCCTTTCCCGGTCGAGCCATTCAACTATACTACTAATATAGCTAAAGCATGGCTCTACCACGTAATAACCATATAATACGCTCAATCATATAATACGTTTATCAATAATAATATATTAGCAGCATCAGTAGCCTAATGGCAGGGCGCGGACCGAACTCGAAAGGTCGTAGGTTACATTTCGCCATTCGACTATTATCGTGAACCACTTCTAACACAAGCATTTTAAGCTTACCAGAAGTGGTTTAAGAGAATATTAGTTATGTTTAATAGTATTACTAGTATTTTAAAAAAAATACAACGAAAGGTACTTCGTTCCAACCGAGTGTTCTACGACAGTCACGCGTGTTTTTATTTTTATAAATTATATATAAAATGTAAAGAATAAAATATAATTAATAAATCTTGTTCATACCTCTAAACCGTACGTTGTTAAAAGCGCTAGTTATCAATCTCAAATCTTTATTTATCGGTTCACCAATCTAAATCAGAGAAACATTAAGTTTTTAACATATAAAAAAATGTTACACATTCCTTTTCATATTTTAACAGTAAAATACTATATTATAAACTTACTTGAACCATAAGGGAAATTCCAACAACACCTTGAGATTTATGTTGTGCTTCGGACATATTATGGTATAGTTCTTTATTGAAACCGTAAAGTTGAATCTGGTGGCAGAAATAAAAAATGTATATATTTATATATATATTTTTTTTTAATTTAAAAACTTAAATGTAACACCTTAAGGTAAAGGGTACACAGGGCGGACTTAATGCCATTTGTCATTCTCTGCCAGTTAACCCTGGGTGCCAAAGACAATTGTAGGCAGGTGACAAACATAATACATAAATAAAGGGTACATATATTAAAATATAATATATATATATATATATATATATATATATATATATATATATATATATATATATAGTACATACATACACAACATATATTATAAATAAAACTTTATAATGATGTTCTCATCTTGGCCGTCATCAACTACGTAAGATATATTCTTACGTTTATCTTTAATGAAATAATAATATTATTATTATAAGTATTACGGATCGCCGTAATGCCGTGCGAAAAATGGAATAAAACGCGCTGGTCTTGCTTTTAACTGGAGGCAAGCGGCGGTGAGGAGGAACTTGTACTTTTTCTTTTCTTGCTGGTGCCTTTTCGGTGGCTGGAGAGCGACTGCTGACCCTAGCGGCCGGCCCGTCTTTTATATGATTTGGCCGCTGCTGGCCAGCGGACCCTTGCCTCACCCCCGCGCCTATCTTTATTTATTTAATAACCTTACAAACTAATAAACATAATTCACTATATAATATTCTTATAACTACTTGTTAGACTAGGGTGTACATATCAATATTTTTACTTATTTACAGGTTTACATTATAATTTTCAGCTGCTTTAGGCGGAGAATCCTTCCCCCCGCCTCAGCACTATAAATATAAAACGTCGTGGCGCGGTGCGCGTGGCTTCATTTGCTCCGCGGCCGCGTCACGATAACATGCTCTTTGGTTACACTACTACTATTATTTTATGTGCCTAACGGCCTAATATATTTATTATATAATAAAGTAAACATTTATTATATTTAACAATTACAGTTTTCATTAGAAGACTATGCTAACTCTCCCTGTTCATACGGTGCCTTTATTTGGGAGAGTTATTGCACAGTTACAACTCAACCTTAAACTTAGTTATAATACAATCATTATTTTTTATCGTTCGATACAAGTAATACAATTATTTACACAAATTATAATTTAAATTCAACATAAGGTTGCGCTAGTCCCGCCGTATAACCCTTGCTAGTTGTCGAACCAGAGGCGTGGCCTGATAATTACACCGTCGTCATGGCTCCGCCCACCGCTCCTAGGTTGTTCAACTAGCGCCGGTTACAATAAGCATTTTCTTTCGTTTGTTTAATATTGTTGCGTCGTGCACATTCTCCCGCCGTCGCCACGCTGCGATCCCTCTGGTAGCACGACGATCTTCTTCGTTGGTCTTCTTAGTATGTGCCCACTGCCGGTGGTTACGTCCACTACTCGTACCTCTCCGTCGACGCCAGGATATACCTTACTTATTTTCCCTCTGGGCCAGGTGTTGCGTGGTAGATTGGAGTCACAAATGATGACTAGGTCTCCAATCTTCGGCGATACTCCTATGCTGCTGGGCTCCCGCCGGTGTTGGAGTAGGGGCAGGTATTCTTTAACCCATCTTCTCCAAAACACGTCGGCTAGGGCTTGAGCTCGTTTCCATTGCTGGCGGGCCGTCACGTCATTCTTGCTGAAGTGTCCCGGCGCAGGTACGTGCGAGTTGGGACCGATGAGGATGTGATTCGGCGTGATGGCTTCAGGGTCTCCTGGGTCGACTGAGACGTGTGTGAGAGGTCTGGAGTTTACAGTATTTTCGACCTCGGCGAGCAGGGTCCCCAATGTTTCGTCGCTGGGATAGCGCTCGTTGAGGGTGACGCGTAGGGCTTCTTTTACGGAGCGAACCATTCGCTCCCATACGCCGCCCATGAACGGTGCTGATGGCGGTATGTACTTCCACACAATCTGTTGACACGTGGTTTCGTGCTCGAGGGCTGCGAGTGCTGCTTCGGCCATCTCCTTGTCTGCTGCCTTGAAGCACGTAGCGTTGTCACTCCATATTTCTTTTGGGCATCCTCTTCTGCTCATAAAACGCCTAAGTGCCGACACGGCTGAGTCTGCGCTCAACGAGTGGGCTACTTCTATGTGTATTGCTCGCGACGTCATGCAGGTAAATAACGCGCCATAGCGCTTTTCGCGATGTCGTCCCACTGTGACTTCTATTGGCCCGAAGTAGTCTAGTCCGGTGTATGTGAACGGACGTGCGTGATGAGCGAGGCGTGCGGACGGCAGGTTTCCTGTAGACGGTGATGCAGGCTTGGCTTTTCTTAGACGGCACGGCAGGCATCCTTTGACGACAGTTTTCACTACTGGACGTATTTTTCTTACGTACAATCTCTGTCTTAATTCATTCACAACTGTTTCTACGCCTCCGTGATGCAGCCTCTCGTGTACGTGTGCTATGTACAGGCGAGTGTATGCGTGCTTCCCGTCTAATATGGGAGGGTCGTACATGTCGTCCTCCACTTCTGATGCCGCTTTTATTCGACCTCTGAGGCGTAGGGTCCCCTCTTCATCAATGTATGTGCTCAGGTGGCCTAGTTTGTCGTCGCCTCCCGGAACACTTCCGCTGGTGATTCTCTTGAGCTCCTTCGTGAAGCTTTCCCGCTGACTGGCTTGCACCCACAGTTGTTCGGCTCTCATATGATAAGCGGCCGGTATTCCTACAAGCGATGAGGCAGTAGGAGTCGCCTTTTTCTCCTTGGCGGGGGTGTTGCGTTTGTTTGTTCTCTGCCAGCCAGGGTCGCTACCTTGTCTTGCTTTGTTGCGTTTACGCCCAGCCTTCACTACGTGCTTGTTTGGTCTGCACATGTCGATGAATAGGAGGACTCTCGCTGTCGCCCTTATGAGGCGAATCCATTTAGAAAATCTTCCTATCTGTGGAAGATGTGTTGTTGTCGAGTCTTCACTTTTAACAGCGATGTTACATATTTCTCGCTCTTCCCCGGTGTCATATTGTGTCGTTTTCTCTTCCTGCGGCCATTCTGCCGGTGGACGCTGCAGAAACGGGGGCCCTCGGAACCATCGGTGCGACTCGTCGAACCCTTCTGGTGTGGCTCGGGTTGCGTCGTCTGCCACGTTTTCTTTAGACGGTAGCCAACGCCATTCGTTCTTTTTGGTCGTATCTTCTATCTCCGCCAGGCGATGAGCGACGAAAGCTTTGTACGCGCGAGGCTCCGATCTTATCCACACCAGTGCAGTACGGGAGTCGCACCAGTATGTCTTGCCTGCTATGTCGCCATCGTGTTCATCGATCACGGTCTGCGCAAGACGAGCTCCCAGCAGTGCCGCTTGTAACTCGAGCCGTGGTATGGAAACTGGTTTCAGTGGTGTTACGCGGCTCTTGGCGGCGGCCAATGATATGTTAACGCTGCCGTCTGCTCGCTCCGTTCTCCAATACACTGCTGCTGCGTAGGCCTCCTCGCTTGCGTCGACGAATGTGTGTAGTTGGCGCGTCGACACCGGGTTGTAATCGTAGCATCGCGGTATTCTTAGTTGTTCTATGGCGTTAAGTGAAGTAATCCAGCCTTCCCATTTTTCTTTTAATTCTGTTGGCAGAGGGTCGTCCCAGTCCGCCTTGTAACGCCATGTGTCTTGAAATATTCTCTTCGCTGGGGTGGTCACCGGTGATATTAACCCCAGCGGATCAAATAATGCCATTATGACGCTCAACGCTTCTCGTTTAGTTGGCAAGCGTTGTTTTTCTTTTACGTCGGCAGGCATCTTCATATTGTTAGTATTGAATCCAATATGATCGCTTTGTACATGCCAGAGCAGCCCTAGCGTCTTCTCAGTTTCTTTTCCGCCCAGGCACACGGTCGCGTCGTGTTGTCTATGCTCTGTCGTTATTTCTTCTATTGTTTTTTCTTCGTTCGATGTCCACCCGCTGAGTACGAATCCCGCTTGTTTGTGGACGTGATCGACTGCTTTTACTGTTTGCTGAGCTTCCGTGACAGAGTGGAAGCTCTGCAAGTAGTCGTCCATATAATGGTTTCTTTTTATGGCGACCGCAGCTTCTGGGTACGCTTCTGCATGTTCTTCAGCATTTTTATTTTTGATGTATAATGCTGTGCATGGTGATGATGTCGCTCCAAAGATGATTGACGTCATCCTATATTCCTCCGGTTGGTCCTCCCGCCGCTTGCCTCTCCACAAGAAACGTAAAACGTCTCTATCTTCTTTGCGCACTTTAATCTGCATGAACATTTCTTTTATATCGGCGCTCACTGCATACGGATACTGTCGGAACCTCATGATCACTCCGGGCAGTGATTGTAATAAGTCGGGCCCCGAGTGAAGCATATCGTTGAGACATATTCCGGCTGTCTTCGCTGCGGCGTCGTGTACCAATCTCGGCGGTTTGTTCGGTTTCGCAGGGTTGATGACTGGGAAGTGTGGCAGATACCATGTCCTTCCTTGCGGCGGTGGCATTGGCGCGCGCTCTGCGTAACCCGAGTTGAAGAGGTTCTCGATGCGTTCTTCGTACTGTAGCTTGAGATTGCTGTCTCGGTCGAGCCTCTTCTATAAGGTGTGCAGGCGCCTTTCCGCTTCTTTATAATTATTTGGTATTTGGAAGTCCTTTTGTTTCCACAACAACCCTGTCTCGAATCTGCCGTCCGCTGACCTCTGGCTGGTTTCGTCCAATATTTGCATGGCTCGCTGCTCGGGATCTTCTTTCGGTCTTCTCGGCTCGATGCACAGCGACTCCAATTTGAAATAATTTTTTATTTCTTCTTCTATCGGTGGTGCATCTTCCCTCTGATGTAGTCTGCCGCAGAAGGTGACCGTCGACGTCAATGAGCTATGACAGCCATGCAGAACCCAGCCCAGGTTGGTGTATGAGGCAACTGGTTGGTCTCGACGGCCGACGCGCAGTTTTCTAGACACTATGAGGTGCCAGTTATCTTGCCCGATTAGTACTTTCGGTGAGGCGCGTTCGTAGGTGATATCCTCTTTGATATCCAACAGATGTGGGCAATTCCCCAAGTGATCTTCATTCACGG